CAATTCCAGACCTGAAGGGCAGCTAGGGGCCATAGTCTCAGTGGTTCCACCAGGCTCTATTGGACCAGAAACCTGGTCCCCACCTTCTTTTTTTTTTTTCCTCCAAATGATTTTGAGTTTTGTTCCACATTGTTCTCCCTCTCTATCCAGGATCTCCTACATCCCTTCCAAGTGGATGACAGTGAATACCTAATTTTAGAAGTGAGGTTATTTTAAGTTGTCTCTGTGTACATACATCTTTGGATTAACCTCCTGTCCTGGTATTTTTATGCACATTCAATTAGAAAAGGAAACTTTCTGGTTAACTTTTCATCTAATCTGAGATCTTTTATGCCAGAGATACATGAGCTCTGATTTTTTTTTTTTTTTCCCCTTGGAAGGTCACAGTGGGTAACTGCTTAGGTTGTCAAAAATAAATTTCAGAGGAGTCTTGATATTAATGTTTTGATTGGTTCATTTGCCCAACTATTGCCGTGCATCTTGAGTTTACAACTTCAGTCTGGCTGTAATGTCACCATCAATGAGTAACCCTGAAGAGCAGAATGAAGAGCATCTCTTCTGATGTGGACACATTTCTGGAAACATGAATCTTCTTCTAGGAACTCACACAGAGGTTGATAGAAAGCCTTGATAAAAAGTTTTTGTCAGATTAAATTTTCCCCAAAGAAGAACAATTTCATTTCCTACAGCCAAAACTAAAAATATAGTTGTAGCTACTTCAGACATAGTTATTTCCATTTTGCCAACTTGAAATATTCTCTCTTTAGTTCCTGCTGCTTGAGAAGGTCCAAAAGATACCATACACACACCTTCACATACTGATTAACTTCCTTCCTTGTTTTCCTAAGTTAGTGGGTATAAAAACTCATGTAGGCAGCTTTGGTGGCTTCAGACCAGTCTTAATTCTTGACTAGTTTGTCCTCCTTAAGCTTGATTAGGGAGGCTCATCCATCCTTAACTTGGACCAGGAAGACACATTTAATCTTATTAACAGGATATTTCTGGTCTCTACAATATCCACATTTAACCAAGTGTTTATTCTTAAACATCTCTGTTGAATCTCACATATTTTTCCTTTCAACTCCATAAAAACGTTCATCCCTGGAGGAACATTAGAAGTTGGAGAAATATTGCCTCTTAAATACATTTCTCTTACCTGCTCATCTGGGCCCATAAAAGAAGCCTTAAGCATGTATGTGTGTGTGTGTATGAGTGTGTGTATGAGTGTAGAAATTATAGAACAATATCATTAATATCACATGCAAGTAAGATCTTACTGAAGATAATTCAGAAACGTTTGCAGCAGTATATTGACAGAG